CAGCTGTGCCGCGTGATTGTGGGAACAGTTTTTTTTTTACTTTTTAAAGCATTTTTTAAACGTTTTAAAGTTCCGATGATCAGCTGTGCAACAATCAGCTGTGCCGCGTGATCGTGGGAACTTTTTTTTTTACTTTTTAAAGCATTTTTAAAATGTTTTAAAGTTCCGATGATCAGCTGTGCAACAATCAGCTGTGCGCGTGATCGTGGGAGCAGTTTTTTTTAAACTTTTTAAAGCATTTTTTAAATGTTTTAAAGTTCCGATGATCAGCTGTGCAACAATCAGCTGTGATCGTGGGAACAGTTTTTTAAAAACTTTTTAAAGCATTTTTTAAACGTTTTAAAGTTCCGATGATCAGCTGTGCAACAATCAGCTGTGCCGCGTGATCGTGGGAACTTTTTAAGAAATGTTTTTTAGCTTTTTTAACTCCCGTTTCAGGAGAACCGAGAGTTAAAAAAATACTAAAAAGAGTTTTAAAAAGGTTCCAACAATCAGCTGTTTTTACTTTAACTACCAGTTCGCCCGGTACTTAAAAATGCTTTAAAAAGTAAAAAAAAGAGTTGGCCACGCCTACCCAGTCACATGACACCACCACCAAGCCACGCCCACAGAACTGGTAGGGGGGAAATTTGAATTTCACCACTGATCATGCCACTGTATTGGGTTTTAACAATCCTACGTATTTACCGTGTTTCCCTGAAAATAAGGCAGGGTCTTATCTTCTTTTGACCCCTGAAATAAACGCTTGGCCTTTTTTTCGGGGAGGTCTTATTATTTTTGGGACGTAGGAAGTGGCGAGCGTGGTCACCTCACGACTGCTGCGGTGTTGCAATATTTTCGGGGAGGGCTTATTTTTGGGGAAGGGTTTATTTTAGCGCATGCGCTCAAAAGCCCGATTGGGCTTATTATCCGGGGAGGTCTTATTTTGGGGGAAACAAGGTAGCAGATTTTGCCAATCTTGGCAACTTTGAGATGCGTGGACTTTGACTCCCAGAATTCCTCAGCCAGCGTAAGAACTGTAGAAGTTTTAAGTCTGTACATCTTGAAAGTTGCTAAAGTTGGGGCATTCTGCTGTATAATCAGAAAAAAATAGATTTAAGGAAGTGACATCAATAAATGTTTAGCTATATCAAGATGACCTGAACGTGTTCTTTTGAAAGGGAAAAAAAAAACACAACCTCCCTGGCCAGTAGTAAATAAAATAAAATAATGAAATTAAAATAGTAAAAAATAAAATCCTTACTTCATTGAAGTGCTCCGTGAGAAAATCAGCTACAAAAGTAATGTCTTTCTGAGTCATCTTTGAGAAAAAGAAACACAAAAAATCACTACCACCACAAATTTACATTTCACGCATTTACCTGCGAAACGCAGCACAACTGAAACCAATTCTGCAAGCCGACAACATTAAATCAAACGGCCAGAATGACATTTTTCAAATGTCAACTTGGACAGGAAAAAAAACAAACACCAAAGCAGTAATGCAATAATATTTTGAAAAGGAAACTTAAGAAAATACAATTAAGCTAATCCTACAATCCTCTTGACCGCTTTCAAATTGAACCAAGTCGGCTTTTACGAGGACCGAGATGAGCAAAACATGGGATCGTTTTCTAAGAATAGTTCGCCTGACGGCTTAAAAGAATATTTTAATGTTTTGTTTATGTAGGAACTGCTCGCAGCTTGGAAGCAACAGAATTTAACAGCAGGGTGAGTGAAACAATCGTCAGGAACTGAATCGGTTGCAGAGGCGGGCGTCACATAATGTAACAAGCGGTCCACCCGTTGAATTGAAAATGTGAGTGCGCCCTCGTGCATGCCTTGCGCCATTCAGGCTGCATCAAACACATGTTGACTACATAGGACAAAAAACCCTGCCTTCGACACAGAGCCCTCCCCCGAGCCTTCCCCAGACTCCAGGACTGGCCCATGTTCCTCCCCAACCTCCTCACTGTCCGACTCTGCCGCCAGCTCCTCAGGCTGCCAGCAGAAAACAACACCGATCACCAATTATAGACCGAAGATTGTCTTGAATTGGACAAGAAATATTAGCGGACTCTCATCTGTGAGCATAACGGACTATATGATGGTTACCTTGTTCAGTTCAGGGGGAACAGGGTCCTCGGACATCCGTAGCATGGCTGAAAAATTAAACAAAGCAACAGTGACCCAGAACCTTCCTTAGAAAGCAAGAAGCAAAGTCTTGGTCCCTGCAAAACCCCTTTTATTTACACGACTGTGAATTCCTTTCACTCACAGTCAGCAAGGCTTGGCAAAGAGCCTTTCAGAGGAATATTTATCCACACGAACCTTATCTCGCTTGGAGAGCTGCCAGATAACTAGTTTCCATGCCATAGGTTCCCCATCACGGATATAGGCCATTGTGTACACACACACATCACTGCCTTCTCATTGGCACAACCCACCGTTAACTTAGATTAAACTAGGTCAGCCTACGAAAGCTGAGCAGCTCTTGCTCTGAAACCAGCTTTTTATTTTTATGATAATTTTTTTTTATTTTAAACACATAAGCACATCAACAAAAACAAACACTAACTTAAAAACAACATAGGAGGGAAGGAAGGAGGGAATGAAGGAGAGAAGAAAGGAGGGAAGGAAGGAGGGAAGGAAGGAGAGAAGAAAGGAGGGAAGGAAGGAGG